GTGAAGAATTTCTTTCTTATATCTAATCTAAATCTACCCGCTTTCAGTTTAAAGCCATTCCCCCTTGTCCCATCACTACATGCCCTTGTAAAAAATCCCTCTCCAGCTTTGTCGTAGGCTTCCTACAGGGACTGGAAGGCTGCAATAAGGTCTTCCTGGAGCCTTCTCTTCTCCAGGCTGAACAACCCCAACTCTCTCAGCCTGTCTTTATAGGAGAGGTGCTCCATCTCTCTGATCATCTTCATGGCCCTCCTCTGGACCCGCTCCAACAGGTCCGTGTCTTTCCTGTGCTGGGGACCCCAGAGCTGGATGCAGTACTCCAGGTGGGGTCTCACCAGAGCAGAACAGAGGGCAGAATCACCTCCCTCGACCTGCTGGCCACGCTTCTTTTGATGCAGCCCAGGATACGGTTGGGTTTCTGGGCTGCAGGCTCACATTGGTGGGTCATGTTGAGTTTCTCATCAGCCAACACCCCCAAGTCCTTCTCATCAGGGCTGATCTCAGTCCATTCTCCGCCCAGCCTGTGTTTGTGCTTGGCATTGCCCCAACCCACATGCAGGAGCACAGCTACCTAAAGCCAGCTTACAAAGTACAGCTGCTTTGTTAATGCCTTTATCAAATAGCAATTTCAGGATAAAAGTGTAGTGTAATGGCATATGGTAGGAAAGCCTGATACAACTGCGTCCACTTCAGAAACTTTATGGTTTAAATGGAGATTTGGGGTTGTATCACTTGCCCAGCTTTTTACTTGCTGGGATGTCAGTATTGGGATATCAAAAGTCTCAGTAAGTAGCTACCTTATTCTCATTCAGGTTACTCATCTGGTGTATCGCTTCTGCAGCTAAGGCTTACATCTCTGCACAGCCTTGCATGTTGCCAGATGGACTGAACAGCTTACTCACAGCAACTCAGCAACTTCTGCAGCACTGCAGGCTTTCTGAAACAAGGTCTACCTTATTGCCTTACACAGCACCAAGCCGAATGAAGCCTGACCTAGTCATGTCCAGGCTCACAGACAAAGTTATGATGAAGTTACAAGTATAGATGGTAAGGAATTGTACTGTCTTCCCCTGAAGCAGTTTCCACTCAGTGTAAACCATTTTTTTCCTGCCCTTTTTGACTGACAAGATTTGGAAAGTTTGTATTCACTTTCTGGCACTTCAGTTAGGAAGCATGACAGAGGGTTTGTGCAGATTTTACTTCCTTGTATTTTTAGAAGTAGTAGCAATGCTTACTCTTTTATTCAGCTGGATGGAGAAACACAGCTTCAAGAGTGCACCCACGTCATGCCTACCTACCTTTGGGTATCAGTGTCTGAGGAGGGGGGTAGGAGGACCATCAAAAAAGAGCACTGCACACTATGGCCACCAAAAGCAGCAAAATGAGTTTTGTTTTTGAGTTTCTTCTTTGAATGTATTCCTAATGTTTGCGTGTGTCAGCTCTGCTGAGGTGACATCTCAGGTTTTAAATTAATATTGTTGCAATGCATTTCTCTTTAATTAAAAAAGAGAGCTCCCCCATAGGAAATTTCCTAAACCAAAACTCATTAGTAATAAACAGATTAAATCTTTATCAGTTAATCAACACTATAAACTTCTGAGTGTTTGGAGAGCGGCATGAGATAACACTGTCGTCATAATAAGAGTGTTTGAAATCATTAGGGATCCCACCGTGCTGTTTGGGTGGTGAGAAAATAATGATTGAAGATGGGCCCCCCTACAGAGCTCACGTGTGAATTCCCCTAAAGATTAAATTTGCAAAGATCTGGATTTTATGTTGGCCCCCTCTCTAAAGCATTTTTTTTAAATAGTGGGCAAGAGTGATGTGCAATACCAAGCAAATTCTTAATGATGCTGATACCAGAACCTGTCATGATGCCACAAAATTTTTGAGCTGGTTAGTGAAATTCTGGGGACTGTTTGTGGGATGGGAGCCTCGCCACCTTCTCAGAGCGACTGTTCCCAGCTCATCTCTCTGGGGCTTTGACCTGTGGTGGAGACTGCACTGCAAAATCCTCATCTTGCTCCACCCTGAATTCTCAACACAGTCATTTCCGTCAGGACTATGGCAATCCTCTCATCACACACGTGATTGATGAAGGTTGGGGAGTGGCAGGGGCATAGTGGAGCAGGAAAGTACAAAACTTGTATGGCTGGTGGCATATCAACACCTCCTAACCCAATAACATTTGGAGTCACGCACATTTAGGAAGTTATGCTGTAGAGGCACTGACATTTTCTCCGTCACTACTGGGAATGTGTCAGAGCTCCTCTGTGTCACCCTGGGGGCTTCTTTGGAGCCATTGAGGTTATTTGGGTTCTTTCCATGAACTCTATAAAAATAAAAGTAAGTGGACTGGAATAAAAATAGGGGCAGTGCAAAAAATAAATCATGTTTGTCCACATCCAGCAAACTTATGGGACAGCTGAGGGATCAGGCCCAGCCAGCATGGGTTTATGAAAGGGAGGTCCTGTTTCACTAACCTGGTCTCCTTCTATGACAAGGTGACCTGCTTAGTGGATGAGGGGAAGGCTGTGGATTTTGTCTACTTGGACTTTAGTAAGGCCTTTGACACTGTCTCCCACAGCATTCTCCTGGAGAAGCTG